TGCAACCATCCATCCGTCCATCCATGCCCCACTTATGCGTTTATCCACCCATCACTCATCCGCCAATCCACATGGCTGCTTTTCCTGAAGAGCTGTAACCATCCACTCTGTGGCATTCCTCACAACCCTGTCTGTCCCCATCTGGGTGGCTATATAAAGTGATTTTAGGGAGGAGGGTTTGCTTTTCGGTAGCAACAGGAGCTGTCAGGCACCCAGGCTCCATTTCTGGTCGCCAACAGCGGGGAGGTAGAATGGCAGGCTGGAGTGAGACTTGGAGCTGGAGAATTGCCCCTGTATGTCCTTTCCCTGTCCTGGGCCTCAGTTTCCCTACCTTACCATGACATCATGCCCTGTGTCTACAGACGGGGGCCCCAGGAGCTCCTTCTGTGAAGCCACAGAAGCAGCAGGGGCAGCCATCCACAGTGCGCTCATCACCGGGAGACCTGAGTGCCAAGGATCTGGGTGACCCCTCCATGGACAAGGCAGCTGTGAAGATCCAGGCTGCCTTTAAAGGCTACAAGGTCCGGAAGGAGATGAAGCAGCAGGAAGGGCCCGTGTTCTCCCGCACATTTGGTGACACTGAGGCACAGGTGGGGGACGCCCTGCGGCTGGAGTGTGTGGTGGTCAGCAAGGCAGATGTGCGGGCCCACTGGCTGAAAGATGGTGTGGAGCTGACTGATGGGCGGCATCACCACATTGACCAGCTTGCAGATGGCACCTGCTCTCTGCTGGTCACTGGCTTGGGCCATGCCGATGCTGGCCGCTACACCTGTCAAGTGAGCAACAAGTTTGGCCATGTGGCCCACAGTGCTTGTGTAGTGGTTAGCGGGACAGAGAGTGAGGCTGAGAGCTCCTCAGGGGGGGAGCTGGACGATGCCTTCCGCCGGGCTGCCCGGCGGCTGCACCGGCTCTTCTGCACCAAGGGCCCGGCTGAAGTTTCAGATGAGGAGATTTTCGTCAGTGCAGATGAGGGCACCGTGGAGCCAGAGGAACCCACAGACTGGCAGACATACCATGAAGATGAAAATTTTGTTTGCATCTGTTTTGAGGCACTTGCTGAAGCCCGCCGGGCGGTCACCTGCTTCCAGGACATGTTTGCCACGCTGGGCATTGGGGTGGAGATCAACCTCGTGGAGCAGGGACCCCGGGGGGTGGAGATGCGCATCACCAAGGTGGCCCCCACCCCTGCAGTGCCTCCAGAGCCAGTGCCCAGCCTGCTGACCTCTGATGCTGGTGAGTCTGCATGCTTCCTCAGTCGGGTTGTGAGCTGGGTCCAGAGGTGGGATTGGAGAAGAGAAGGAAGAGCCAGACTGTTTGTGGCCAGAGTCAGAGAATGCCCTCATGGTTACCTGTGCTCCAGCATCGGGCTCTTTGCAGATACTGCCCACTGAGGTATGACTAAGCCCCGACTTCAAGGTTACATGGAGCTGAATTTAAATCCTAGCTCTGTCTCTTTATAGCTATGTGATTTTGGGGAAGCTACTCAGTGTTTCTGAATCTCAGTTTTCACATCTGTGAAATGGGAATGTGAATACTTACTTTCTAGTGTTTTATTTCAAATGAGACTTGGAGGTGTGACCTGTATAAAATACAGAGTTCCTCGTGGTCCAGTCTACACACCATTTCCCATTCCAGCAACTACCAACAATTAAAAAGCTATTTACTATGTACTTTTATGAGGGTACTTCAAAAAGGTCATGAAAAAATGGAATTCAGAGAAAATATGAATATTTCTATGAAGTTTTTGAAGACCCCGCGTCTCTCTCTGGGCACTTTCAAGAAGGTTAGTTAGTGACCTACAGCATCATTTCTTGGAACTTCTCCACTCCCCAGTTTTTTAGTCACTCCTTCACCTGCTCCTCCTGGACGTGGAGCCCACACAGCCTCTGTCTCTGCTTTTACCTCCCCTTTCCTCCCTTTATTAGTCTGCTTCTGTTGCTTGTCACAAAATACATGGAACTGGGTAATTTACAAAGAAAACAAAATTTATTGCTTACAGTTTCAGAAGCTGGGAAGTGCAAAGTCCAGGGGACACATCTGGTGGGGGTCTTGGTGGTGGTGACAGTGACCCAAAGTCTCACATGGCAGAAAATGGAGCAGAGAGAGAGAGAGAGAGAGAGAGAGAGAGAGACAGGCTTTCATGCTCCACTTTTAAAGCCCTCAGAACCACGCCCCTGACCACCATCTTTAATCCACTCACTAGGCACGGTCCTGCAATCCAATCACCTCTTCGAGGCCTCACCTTTCAATTATCATAATAGGACTTCCCTCCCTCAGCAGTCGCAGTGGGGCTAAGCTTTGGGAGAGCACTCAACCCAAAGCACTCCTTGTCTCCAGTCCTCTATTTTTCTTGCCTCCTGGTAGCTTGGGAACCAGGCTGGCAGTGAGAGAACACGTAGATCAGGAGCAAGAGGGAGAACCTTAGCAGGAAAAATACGATTCTGTCTGGTTATCAGGGTCTGCGAATGCTCCCACACGAGGCTGCTGTGCAGATCACACCACGTCACACTGCCCATCTGGTGGTGACGTGTGTGTAAGTGGCAGCTGGGTGTGATTGGCGTGCCCGGAGACACCTCACCGCACACCTCACCTATCTGTCCCAGCCCCAGTGTTCCTGACAGAGCTACAGAACCAAGAAGTACAGGATGGGTATCCCGTGAGCTTCGACTGCACGGTGACAGGCCAGCCCGTGCCCAGCGTGCGCTGGTTCAAGGATGGGAAGTTGTTGGAGGAGGATGATCACTACATGATCAACGACGACCAGCAGGGTGGCCACCAGCTCATCATCACGGCTGTGGTGCCGTCGGACATGGGCGTCTACCGCTGCCTGGCCGAGAACAGCATGGGTGTCTCCTCCACCAAAGCTGAGCTCCGCGTAGACTGTGAGTGCTGCTCTCGGGGCTCGGGGTCTCCAGGGCGGGTGGTGTGGAGGCTCCTGAGTTGGGCTGGGAGGTGGCCCAGAGAGCAGTGGTCTGGACCAGGCAGGATTTTGTGCCTGATGGAGAATTCTTTTGGAGCTAGAGCTGAGACCAGGGCTCCCTTATGGAGCTCCTTGGAGGTGGGAACTGGGGGTAGAGAGAGCTCATCTCTGTGGGAAGCATCCAGGCTGGGGAGAGGCCTGGGGGAGTTCAGATGTGGACCTTATGGAGTGGTGAGGGGAGCCAGGCAGGAAGGGGGAGCCCAGCCTTTCCCACCCTCTTCCTTGCAGTCCCTTTTGAAGGACCTCAGATGGCTTGATCAGGGACCCTCAGGAGAAGCTCAGGGGCGTGATAGGTGGTTAAGGACACTGTGGCCTGAAAAGAGTATATATTTGGTCTTTGTCCTTTGTTCCTGAATTCCTTAGAATCAGGAGCTCCTAAATTCCTTAGAATCTCCTGGGTGGTAGGAGTGTCTCTTGTTCTAATAAGGCTATCGCTTCGGGGTGGGGTGGGGTCTGGTTGCCAGAAAGACCAAACCTTTATTAGAAGCCTGGAACTTTCAGCTCCTGCAGGAAGAAGAGAGGGGCTGGAGATTGAGTTAATAATCAATCATGCCTACATGATGAAGCCTCCATGAAAACCCATACACTGTGGGGTTTGGAGAGCTTCTGAGTTGGTGAGCGCGTGGAGGTGCTGGAAGGGTGGCGTGCCTGTAGAGAGAACGGGAGCTGTGCACCCCTGCCTCCTACCATGCCCCGTGCATGTCTTCCCTGTGGCTATTCTTGGATTTTATCCTTTATAATAAACCAGTAATAGTAAGTAAAAGACTTTCCTGAGTTCTGTGAGCCATTCTAGCAAGTTATCAAATAAAGGGATGGGGCCATGGGAACCCCTGACTGATAGCAGGTTGGGCAGAAGTACGGGTGGCCCGTTACTTAAGACTTGTGTCTGAAGTGGGGACAGTTTTGTGGGAGCGAGCCCTTTAACTGGTGGAGCCTGCATTAACTCTGGGTAGTTGGTGTCAGAATCGAACGGACTTGTTGGACCCCCAGCTGCTGTCAGATGTGTCGTGAGTAAAAATGGCTTAGGCACAGGCTCTGGAGCCACAGAGTTGGATTCACATTCCAGCTCTGCCACGTACCAGCTATGGGGTCTGGGACGAGCCACTTTCTCTCTCAATGCCTCAGCTTCCTCATCTGTAAAATGGAGATTGTGGAAACTATCTCATGGCATAGCGGTGATGGTAAAGTAAGTTGAGTCATGCAGAGCATTCAGCAGAATAGGCCCAGTACAAAGTTGAGCACAAATTATTAGCTGGTGTATGAGGCGGTTTTGGGGATGTGGGAGGGGTGCTGTAGTGTCCAGCCTGAGAAAGTCTCATTCTGTGACGTGGGCAGTAAGTGTGATAAAACTTCATCTTATTGCATACATTTGAATACACAAGTATCCACTCAGTGGAGTTCATGTTAAACTTTTGACATCTGAGTAAGGTTGATGGATTTTATCACGGTTGGTTTCCAAGATGATACTGTACTGTAGTTAACATTGTGGTGAACTGGGTGGAGAGAACATGGGACCTCTGTATTATTTTTTAGAACTGCATGTAAATGTACAATTATCTCAAAATAAAAAGGAAAAAGGACTGTTAAAAAGACAACAATAACAAACCAATTCTGAATAAGAAAGTCTTTTTGTATTTACCTGTGTAGTTCCACTTCTGGGCTCTTCGCTTTGTGTGGAGGTCTAGATTTCCATCTGGTACCATTTTCGCGCTGCCTGAAGGCCATCTTTAACATTTCCTGCAGTGTAGATATGATGGAATTCTTTCAGCTTTGTACCCTGAAAGTGTCTTTATTTTGCTTTTGTTTTTGAAAGATTTTTCTAGGACAGTTTTTTTCTTTCCGTACTTTAAAGATGTTCCTCTGTCTTTTAGTTTGTATTGTTTCCAGTGAAAAATATGTCATTTTTATCTTTGGTTCTCTGTACATAACTTGTTTTTTCTATGGGGATTTAAAATCTTTTAGATACTCATAAAACACCATAAAACTCACCATTTAAAAAAATACAATTTAGGGCCGGCCCGTGGCTCACTCGGGAGAGTGCGGTGCTGATAACACCAAGGCCCCGGGTTCAGATCCCATATAGGGATGGCCGGTTCGCTCACTGGCTGAGCGTGGTGCTGACAACACCAAGTCAAGGGTTAAGATCCCCTTACTGGTCATCTTTAAAAAAAAAAAAAATACAATTTAGTGATTTTTAGTGTATTCACAAGGTTGCACTAACATCACTACTATCTAATAGTATGTTCTAGAATATCTAATTTCAGAACATTTTTATCATCCCCAGAAAAAACCATTAGCAGCCGTTCCCGTTCCCCTTTCCTCCCAGCCCTTGTGAATTTCTAATCTATTTTCTGTCTATGGATTTGCCTATCTGGACATTTACTATAAGTGGAATCTTATAAAATATGGCCTTTTGTGTCTGACTTCTTTCACTGAGCATAATATTTTCAAGGTCTGTTCATGTCGTGGCATATATCAGTGTCTTATACCTTATTATGGCTGAAAAATTCCATTATATGTGGGATATTTATCCATTCATCAGATTGTGTTTATTCATTTGTTGTTTTGTCTATTACAAATACTACTGCTGTGAATATTGGTGTACAAGTTTTTGTGTGAACACGTGTTCAGTTCTCTTGGGTACATACCTACGAGTGGAATTGCTGGGTCGTAGGGTGACTCTGACTTTGAGAGGAGCTGCCAAACTACTTTCAACAGCAGCGGCACCATTTCACATTCCCATCAGCAATATCCAAGGGTTCCAGTTTCCCCACGTCCTTATTTTATACCCATCATAATGGGTGTTAGGTGGTATCTCAATGGAGTTTCAATTTGTATTTCCCTAGTGATGTGTGCTTAGTGGCCATTCATGTATATTCTTTGGAGAAATGTTTATTCAAATTCTTTGCCCATTTTAAACTGGAGCATTTGTCTTTTTATTTTTGAGTTACAAGAGTTCTTTATATATTCTTCATACTAGACCTTTATCAGATATATGATTTTCAAATATTTTCTTATTCCATGGGTTGTCTTTTCACTTTCTTGATAGCATTCTTTGAGGTACAAAAGTTTTAAATTTTGATGAAGTCTAATTTATTTACTTTTTCCTTGGTTACTTATGGTGTAGTTGTCATGTCTAACAAACCATGACCTAATCCAAGGTTGTAAAGATGTACACCTCTGCTTTCTTCTAAAAATTTAATAGTAGCTCTTTTTTTTTTTCCTTTTTGTCTTTTTTCATGACCGGCAACGGATCGCAACCCTCAGTGTCGCGCCCGTACTGGACCGGGACCGGCAACGGAATCGCAACCCTCGGTGTTGTGCCCGCACCTCGCTCAGCCAGTGAGCGGCCGGTCTGTATGTGGGATCTGAACCCTCGGTAGGAGCGCTGCCGCGCTCCTAAGCGGCGCACTGTAGCAGTGCACCACCGGGCCGGCCGTAATAGTAGCTCTTATACTTAGGTCTTTGATCCATTGTGATTTAATTTTTGTATACGGTGTGAGGTAAGGGTCCAAATTCATTTTCTTTCATGTGGATATTCAGTTGTCCCAGCACCAGTTTTTTAAAAAAGACTTTTTTTCCCCACTGAATTGTCTTGGAGCTCTTGACAAAAACTGATTTCCCCTAAATGTGTAGGTTTGTTTACAGACTCTAAATCCTATTCTGTTGATCTAAATGTCTGTCATTATGCCAGTAACATACTGTCTTGATTGCTATAGTTTTGGTAGTGAGTTTTGAAATTGAGAGTGAGTCGTCCAACTTTGTTCTTTTTTAGGATGGTTTTGACTATTTTGCGTCCCTTGCAATTTCATATGAATTTTAGGGTCAGCTTGTCAATTTCTGCAAATGAGGTCTCTGGATATATTTTCAGATTTCCTTTTTATCACTAGTTTTGAGTAATTTGATTATGATGTTCTTTGACATACTTGATGTTCCTTGTGCTTGAACTTCATTGAGCTGCTTAGAACTTTGGGTTTATAGTATTCATTAAGTTTGGAAATTTCATGACCATTATTTCTTCAAATATGTTTTCCATTTCTCCCCTCATTTTGGGATTTCACCAACATGTATATTAAGCAACTTAAGTTGTACTACAGCTCACCAACGCTCTCTTCACTTTTCTATCTTTTCTTTTTCTTTTTTTTTTCTGTCGGCTGGTACAGGGATCAAACCTTGTACATTGTTGTTGTCAACACCATGCTCTAATCTTTTTACTTTTTAAGATTCTTTTTTTCTGGGCCAACCCTGTGGCGCACTCGAGAGAGTGCAGCGCTGGGAGCGCAGCTGCGCTCCCGCCACGGGTTTGGATCCTATATAGGAATGGCCAGTGCGCTCACTGGCTGAGTGTGGTGCGGGCAACACCAGGCCAAGGGTTGCGATCCCCTTGCCGGTCACGAAAAAGACAAAAAAAAAAAAAATTCTTTTTTTCTCTGTGCATTTCATTTTGAGTAGTTTCTATTGCCATGTCTTTACAGTTACTAATCTTTTCTTCCATAATATCTCATCCCATCCATTGTATTTATCATCTCTAGAAATTCTAATTGTTTTTTATATATTCTCTGACTCTAACTTTTTGAACATGTGGATACAGTTCTAATACCTGTTTTAATGTCTTCCTCTGCCAGGTTTAACATCTGTGTCAGTTCTGGGTTGGTTTTGATGGATCGATTATTCTGCACATTATGGGTCATGTTTTCCTGCCTGTTTACATGTCTGTAGATCTTTGGATGCCTGACATTGTGGATTTTACCCTGTTGGGAGCTGGATGTTTTGTATTTCTACAGATCTTTTGAGCTTTGTTCTGTGATGCAGTTAACTTACTTGGAAGCAGTTTGATTCTTTCAGATCTGACTTTTATGGTTTGTTAGGTGGATCCAGAGCAGGGCTCAGTCTAGGGCTAAT